CATTACATGATGTGAAATCTGAGCATCGAACTAACATTAGAAAAGACTCTTCCCTTGATATAAAGAAAAACGAAGTCTGTGCCACATTTGTCGTAGTCCAGGTTAAAATCCACACACCCCATACAAACAAAAGATTACAACTAAGCACTGAGGCACAGCTGCCCTTGTCTGCCAGTTTGAAACACTTTTAATTATTTGTTCTTCCACAGTGCTAAACTTAGATTTTGTGTACACCACAACTAAACATAGAATAGACAACAGACCAGGCAACATAAGCTTGGTGCTGCAAACTCTACAGGAGTAGAAGTTTTTATCTGTTTTATTCAAACAATACAAGTACAAATACAAATACAAATACAATTTGATGTATCCCAAACACCTAGAACAGTGCCCATACATAAAAAAGCACTGAATAAATATGTATTGAATTACTATAGAACTTGCTTCCATTTTCTGCCTTAAATAGACAAGGTCCACTCTTTTCATAACATTTATTGACTTTATATTATTAACTTGCTTCTATAAAAAAGAGGTAAACTACAATAATTTAACCAAAGGTAGCACTAGTAAAAGAGACAGTTTTGGGTGACGTTAAATGACCAACACAAATGCTTGAAACCTATTTGTCACCTTAAAATAATCTGAATTAGAAGTAAAGTTTCTTTCGGGGTAAAATTACTAAATAAATAGAACAAACTCAAATTTTAAAGAACTGCATTTTTAATGCTACCTTAAACAATGGAGGAAAAAAATCTACATATAATTCATAAAATAGGATTAAAAATACATTAAAAAAGAGCTATTAATAAATATGCCTCTTGTGTTTCTTCCTTTTAAAACTCAAAACAGTGTGGTCTGCCTCATGCCCACATCAAAGAAAGCCAACCAACCAAGAATAAGAGAAATGAAGGCTCCATTCAATATCTCTCTCCTGGTGCCTAAACACATTTTACAAAAATATTCTTAGAACCAACAACAAAGTTAGAAAACCAAAAACAGAACAGGAAGATAAACCCGCAAGAGAAAACAACCATGACATTGCTACACCCTCTTCCAGTTTTCTCCAAAACATTTTTCTTGCCAGATGAACACAATAAGTCAGAGTTCTATTTTTAATGCGTGAGTCTTGCTTGTGGCACAAACAGATCAATGAGAAATCTCTTGTCTTCAGGAAAACATGAGCCTATAACACAAAGTATGTAAGCTTATAAAAATAGCATGTCTGCTGTAGAAAGCATGAAAATAAAAGGGTGAATGAACTAATGAGCAAATGAATGAATATTTCTGATAGAATTTTAGAGTAATTCAGGATGAAGTGATAAGGTATAAATGGGCTCATCAATTTTCAATATTCCCCCTGTACTTTTATAACTATTTCTCCTCAACCTATCTGTGCATAAAATTAGGTTAAAAAGGGAGGGACATAATTAAAATGTACTGAAACTAGCTTGCAAAATTCCCTTCTAAAGGGCAGGAAGTTACTCCAGAAGAGAAAAGGATAAATCCAGAGACAAAGGGAAGTAAGAAAAAGAAAAGTGCCAGCATAGGGAAGCTGGATTGAGAGAGTTTGGATGAGTTTTGAGGAAAAGTCAGAGAAGGCCCTAGAATCACCTACTATGCTGTGATTCGCTAAGAAGATTTTAAATGAAATTACGCTCTATATTATCAATGATACCCCCATGCAATTTCTTAAGAGGTGCAATAAGGATTTAAATTATTTTCCAGTTATTTTTGGATGTCACTTATTCATTTAATCCCCAAATATTTATTGATAGAGGCAGTTTCTTAGAGCTGTGTTTTATGTTGGCAGCCTCTGTATAGACAGGCCTTAGGGTGGAAGCAAGAAAGCCCAGCTTTATACAGGCTACTAAAAACAAAACAAAACAAACAAAAAACCCCCCAAAATCCACAGAACACATATACACACACATACAGATCCAGAAGAGGAAAACCATATTCCAGTATTGCTCCTTGTTCTATTCTTTAACAACATCTGTATATAGAAAGTGTGGTACAGCCATTATGGAAAACAGTGTGGGAAAGAAGATTTTAAATGAAATTAGGCACTATATTATCAATGATACCCCCATGCAATTTCTTAAGAGGTGTAATAAGGATTTAAATTATTTTCCAATTATTTTTGGATGTCACTTATTCATTTAATCCCCAAATATTTATTGATAGAGGCAGTTTCTTAGAACTGTGTTTTATGTTGGCAGCCTCTGTATACACAGGCCTTAGGGTGGAAGCAAGAAAGCCCAGCTTTATACAGGCTACTAAAAACAAAACAAAACAAACAAAAACCCCCCAAAATCCACAGAACACATATACACACACATACAGATCCAGAAGAGGAAAACCATATTCCAGGATTGCTCCTTATTCTATTCTTTAACAACATCTGTATATAGAAAGTGTGGTACAGCCATTATGGAAAACAGTGTGGAGGTTCCTCAAAAAGGTAAAAATAGAACAACCATATGATCCAGCAATCCCATTTCTGGGTATATATCCAAAGGAAATGAAATCAGTATGTCAAAGATATGTCTGCACTCCCATGTCCATTGCAGCACTGTTCACAATAACAAAGATATGGAATCAACCAAAGTGTCCATTAAAGAATAAAGAAAATGTGGGATACAATGGAATACTATTCAACTTTTAAAAAGAAGGATATCCTGTCATTTGCAAAACATGGATGAACGTGGAAGACATTATGGTAAGTGAAATAAGCCAGACACAGAAGGACAAGTACTGCCTGACCTCACTCACATGTGAAATTAAAAATGTCTGAACTCATAGAAGGAGAGGGTAGAATTGTGTTTGCCAGGGGGTGTTTGCCTAGGGTTAGGCGACATAAGGGAAGTTGGTCAAAGGTTACAAAGTTTCAGTTAGACAGGATGAGTAAATTCTGAAAAACTATTATACAGCATGGTGACTATAGTTAATAATAATCTATTCTATAATTGGAAATGGCTAAGAGAGTAGATCTCAAATGTTTCCACCACAAAAAAAATGTAAACGTGTGAGGTAATGGATATGTTAATTAGCTTTACTTGATCACTTAACAATGTATAAACATATCAAAACATCACCTTGTATACCACGAATATATACAATGTCTTTTCAGTTGCAGTCAACCTGCAGATGAACTTCTGGAACTCAGCCATTCAAATTGGACACTGGCTGTGCACTGGACAACTCTTTCCTGTAGCTAGTCATGATGCTTTCTCATCCTCTTCTAAAGTTTAAAGTAAAGCATTACCAGGCCTCCTGACTTCCTCATGAGCTGTGATTAAGTATAGCCAAATTTCAAGCACTGTTTGAAAAATGTCTTTAACCTAAATGTTTGGGCATTAAAATTGCTAACAATAATAACCCAAGGCTACTTCCATTATGAATTTGGTCTTTGCTCTCGCCCCGCAAAATATATCACAATACTTCCCTAGATAATGACCCACATAAAGTGTTCTCCATGATTAACAATGGCATTTGTATTATAGCCGTGCCAGGAAAGAAAGCATGTAGCTGATCGTGGCCAGTACAACAGAGATCACTTCTAAAAACAGAGTACGGTACAGCTCATGCTTCAAACTCCAGTGGAAACTGGATGATGAGTGTGCTGTTGTCTTTTAAAAACAACCTGCTAAATGCTTCTAGATCCTGTGCCCTGATTACTGGCTGACCTACATATGCGTATTTTGGGCAATGCTAGTGCCCTAGAGGGCCTGATGATTTGATAGGCAGTTAAGGTCCTCGGTTAACATGAATTTTGAAAAAGCCAAGATGAACAGACTAATTTCCCGCAAAACTAGTTTTTTCTAATCTCTGAAATGTTAAAGGGGCAATGTCTGTGGATTATTTTGAACAAGGAAATTTTTGTCTTATAAAGACTGCAATGTAAACAATTAATCCCCCAGCCAGTCACTCAAGCCAGATGAAACACACTTTCCAGACAGAAACAGTGACTGTCCACCTACAGGGGCTGGGTGAGGGGGCAACTTAATTTAGTAGATTAGATTTTCTGCATAAATTATTATTTGATATTAATGTAAATGATTGTTGCAAGGGCATTTTGAAGATCCAGTATGACGATGTACAGAAAATGTCTCGCATAGTACCTGGCATTATCATCATCATTATGATAGAAACACATTCTACCCATTGCTTGGATTGGGTAAAGAAATGTACAAGAAAAAATATTCTTTTTTTGCAGCCTCATTTCTGGACTGGAATATCTCTTAGTACTTCAAAATTATTATAATGTAATATTATGTACTTGAAATTTTATATTTTCTTGTAATCAAATATTTCAAACATTATTTTATTAGCAACAGACCAACAGGAAAGGGAAGGTAACCTCTCAAGTATTTATTATTTCTAAAAGTTTCAGTTGGCCCACTGGGCTTCTGTGGCAGATTTGCAATTATCATGTTAGAAAACTAAAAGGAGCTTTGGTATCATTTTAAAAACAAGAAAACTAAGATCCAAAGAGACTTAGGGAATGCCAGACCTAGTACAAAGAAAGGGATCTACTTTGGATGCCTGTACAAATCTCTTTGCACTAATATTGTCTATTGATACATTGAAATGAGGCTAAGTCACCCTTAGATGACATTACCATACAAATGAAGGGAAATGAACATTTGCAAAATAAATGCTATTGGCCAACTATTTCTGCATGATTTTCTGCCTTCAGTCCTCACAGAAACTTTGCAATGTAGGTATTATTAGTACTGCCTTTAAGGAAAGGAAAGTGAGGCTAATTAATATCAGAAGATCAGGAGTAGGCAAAGCTGAGTGCGACTCAGATCCAGTGCTAATCTAACTACAAAGCCCCGGACCCTTTTCAATATACCTCAGCGCCTTTGGGAAGGTTAAGTAGGTACTGCAATATCCCTGCTATTGGAAAAGAATCACCTTTTCTAATTTTCTGGCTGGCGAACAGTTAAGCAGAAGTTTAACCGCCAGATGATGAAGACTGCTCCAAGATCACATACCTGTGGTGGAGTCAATGGTGAAAAGGGACGACAAGTCTCCCGGAATGAGTTCATAAGTCACTGTTCCATACATCCCAGAATCCCTGTCGGTGGCAAGGACATTGATGATCTCAGTGCCCGGCTGGGTCTGGCCGCTGATGCTTGTCACATAGGTTGACGGGTTAAACACAGGATGATTATCATTCACGTCCTCCAGTTCCACTCGAACGAAAGCTTGGGCACTTAGCCCACCCTGTTGGATGAATGAGTAGTGATTACAAACGGTCTCCGCTGAATGCGGGAATATGGAAAACTGACCATGATCCTATGCTTTTAACTTTGAGATATGAGTTCCTATGACACAGCATGCTGTCTATACCTCAGCGCTGATTCTTAAACATAAATGAGATTACTACTTAAAGTTCATGTGAGGCAAAAATTCCAGAGTAGAGGTCAAAGATAAAGAAAGTTGTCCCTATGTTAAAAAAAAAAAAAAAATCACTTTTAACCTTAAGATGACTTAAAAATGAATGTTAGTAAGTGCTAAGGAGAAGGGCAAGGGAGTATTGGTAGGGAGTGTCCTGGTGAAAGCCTCAATAAGAAGTTACCATGTGAAGACAAACCGATCTACATGAGGGAGCTAGACTGCAGTTATATTGTAGAAAAGAGTAACAGGCAGAAGAAAGAGCAGGTGCAAAGGCCCTGAGGCAGGACTGCAGCGTGCCTCCCTGGCCTGTCCAGGGATAGCAAGGAAGCCAGTAGGGCTGATGTCAAAGAGGCAGGGGCAGCTCACGGGGGCTCTGGAGGCCTCTGAAAGGACCGTGACTCCACACTGGAGCATGCTGAGCACAGGAGCGGCGTGATTTGATTTTGATCGTAACTGTTGCTCTGGCTGCAGTGTTCAGACTGAAGGGCAGCAAGGGTGGAAGGAGGGCGACCAGTTATGAGGAGGAGCTTCAAATCATCAAGACTGGAGCCAGTGGTGGCCTGAACCATGAAGGAACAGTGAGCAGCTGTGAGGCGCTTATGCTAAATACTGGGGCCAGCTTTGTGCTGGAATTCTGAATTCTGCAAGTTTTAGAAAGGTACATGAAGTAGTGTGATGTGGATTCCGTCCTGTTTATTTTGTGCTGCCTCCATCCAAAAACAGGAGAAGGAGAGTGAATAAAATAGAAAAAAATAAGCCTCTGCAATTTTCACTTTTCCGAAGGGAAAACATATGTTCCCACTTTAAAGCACCATTTTCCATTTCTCTCAGTGCATTTTGACACTTTCATCTTTGACAAAAATCCTTGGGAAGTCACAGCAGCCTGGGTTTTCTCACTCACTTCCCCGCCCCTTCCTTGTCCCGGCTTTTCCCCTTTCCTACTGGGGCAGGAGACACCGAGCAAAGAGGAAAAGGAAGGACAGAGAAGAAGGTTTGCCAAGGGACAGAAGAGGGCTGCCGAGGAAGCGCAAGTCGAGGGAGAGAGAGGGCAAGGACGACCTATATACAGTTCAGGGCAAACCCAGAAATGGCTTTCACGCTCTGAGGTCCCATGTACCCCAGGCTGGGGACTAAAGAAGAATTGGGTAAGACTTCTTTAAAAAGAGTGTGATTTTCCACATCCTATGGTGAAGAAAGTGCCAGAGCCACGCCAGTTACCAAACTAGAGAAACAGGGACTGTTACCATTGTAATAAAATCAATGGAAGTTCATCCATCCAGCCCATATGCTTAAAATGCAAATTGGTCCTACATATTCAGCAAATTGAAATAACCTGTAGGTCTCCAAGTACAGTGCAATAAGGGGTGGCTGCAGTCTGATTATAAGCAGATAGAAGATGCTTTAAAATATCTAACAGCGACCGTACTATTGCTCTAAAATGCCTTCCTTCTAAGTTTTGCTGTCCCTCATACCTTTCCTTTCTCCTTCCTCTTCTATTTCTCAAGTTCAAGAAGTCACGTAGGCATGAGGAGGGGCTGAGAAAGCAGGTAGAGAAAGTAATGAAAAAGTGGGGAAGACATGAAGAAATGATTACCACCCCGCCTTGAGGTCTTTAAGTGCAAAGATCTTAATTCTGAGGCTGTTCATGAGGATCCTAAATCAGGCAATGCTATAAAAAATAAGCAAACGTTAGACAAAGTGAAAAACTTACTGTCACAGAACAATGAATCTTTTTGCAGAAAAGGTAGCATAGATCTGTCTTCCTTTTTTTATAAGTTCATTATTTATCTGCTAAATGTATTAAGTGGGGGTATTTTCTTCTTATAATAAGCACTTATGAATGTGTGTTAAGTATGTTTTACATGTATTTTCTTCTTCAGTTCTTATAATCTCCCCCTTTTTTTTTTTTTTGTCTTTTTTTCCGTGTCTGGCAACGGATCGCAACCCTCAGTGTTGCCCCCGTACCGGACCGGGGACCGGCAATGGGATTGCAACCCTCGGTGTTGCTCCCGTGCCTCGCTCAGCCAGTGAGCAGGAACCGGTCTGTATGTGGGATCCGAACCCTCGGGCGGGAGCGCCGCCGCGCTTCCCAAGCGGCGCACTATCCAGTGCACCACCGGGCCGGCCCCCATAATCTCCCTTTTTAAAGAATATCATTGCACAGACAGGCTGAGTTGCTCAAGGTAAATGATACTGTAACTAGCAGATCTGTAACTGGAACACTTGTCTCCAAAGCCCTTGATGACTTCTTTTAGAGTTTTAAAATTATTGCTATGGTATAAATTCTACCTTTCATGTAAATTTGTTTACAGACTGTACAAGGAGAATTCCTATCATGGACTCAATCTTACAGAATAAAAGGAAGGCAGGGTTTCTGTTTTTTAGAAACTTGTAGTCTATGAGACAGACACTCTACTACTAGGTTTGTGGCACAGCGGAACAATCTGGAACCAAAAGACCTGGGTCCAATGCCTAGCTCTGCCCACATCCAGGACCATAGCTTTGGGAAAGTCAGAAAGTCCCTGAGTCTGAGCTATCTCTTCTGTAAAGCAGAGCTATCTGCTTGTCTCACAATCCTGTTTTTGAAAGGAATGCTATAAAATATATGAAAGCATTTATAATGGTTAAGATAAGATCTTACAGGCTCCTTATCCCAAATGGTTGGGGCCGGATAAATTTGTCTTGAATTTTTCAAGTTTTAGAAAGGTAATATAATGCATATACATAGCAGGGTTTGGAGTGGCACCTAGTAATCAATCGCTTCATTGTCTGCAGCAAAATGTCTGAATAGACGCACCTAGAGGGATGAAAAAAACTTGACTAGCCTTGTGTCAGTTCAAGCCAGGTTTCTCACCAGATGAGTTTAACACTTCCCATTTTGAGAGATTTGGGGTTTCAGAACTACAGAAATAGGATTGTGGTATGATTTCAAATATAGACACGTGCTACAACTGAGCTATGAGCCCTGAACAGAGGCAAATCTCAACACTGAAGGGTTCCTTGAATTGGGTCCTCAAAAACAAATAGGATTTGACAGTCAGATATTTCAGGTGAAAACAACATCCTAGAAAATGTTCTAACATTTTTAAGAAGTCTCTGCCACGTCTCAGGAAGGTCAAGCACACTAGTGGGGCTAGAGGGGAGTGGGGGGAAAGAGGGGGCAGGATCCAGAGAAAAGCCTGGACAGTCAGATTCCTGTATTTCAATTTAAATGCTTAGGAGGATAAACTTTATTCTACATACCAGTGGACTCCATCGGTAAAAAAATGCAGTGTGTACACCCTCGATACACATATTTTTATTTGTTAATAAATTGTATATAAGTTTACTCTGCTAATGTATTATTTATATTTAATATAGCACATAAATAAAATTGAAAGGATAAAATTCAAAGTTCTAATGTTTTCTTCCTACCCACCCACATGGAACACTATTGTTGCCATTAATAAACTGACATGATCAAATATAGGTTTTAGAAACATATACCTGGGGTAGCAAGAAAGAGATGTATCTTTAAAAAGTAAAGACCTTCCTTAGTCAAAAAGTTGGGGGAAATGCCAAATTCACCAAGTCAAATGGGTTCTTTTGCCTCAGAACTTCTCTCAGAGCCTTCTGTACACACATTTCCAGAGAGGGTGAGTTCTGAGATGTTCTCCACCCATTTTAGACCACAGAACCCTCTGTGGAAGGAGCCTGGTGGGAACCAGAATCCTACAGAACACAGCATAGGGAGTGCTGATCTCCACTAAACTTCAGCATCCCCTGAGAGTGTCCACTTTCCAATGCTGTACAATTAAATTTCCGTCCAGCTCATGGAAACTGTTCTGATAATGCAACCTCTTGAGAGACTCTGAGCCAGGATTACTCAGCCAAGCCACTTTCAGATTCCTGGCCCTTAGAAACTATGTGGGATATTAAATGTCTGTTAGTTTAAGCTGCTAAATCCAGGAATAATTTGTTATGCAGCAACAGGTAACTAATACATCCTGTAAGTTCCAGGCATGAATGTTTATTAATTTTGTTTTATCCTTTCTCTTTCCACCATCAAGTCATGAGTTATTTTGATTAATTTTAATCATTTAATTTTTAAAATTATGGTGAGAACTTCTAACCAATCTACCTGAATCCCAATCCCTTCACTGAAAGGTGGGAGCAATTTGGGAAAGCTCCAAGCAGGGGGGTCGCCTAGGGAAATCGGTAGATATGAAAAATTTTCTGCTGTTACTTCAACTTTGGCAAGTGTCTACTTTCCATTCTTTGTTCTTGCCTTCTGGAACTCCTGAATAGTAGAATATTAATATCCTTCACATCTCTCAGCTCTTGTGACCTGCATTCTAATGAGATTTCTATGTCAATGTATTCCAGTCTATATTTCATGATTCGATGAACAAAGATGAAGGAAAAGGAAGGTCCAGTTAGTTAAGGAAAACAAAACATAACAATAGTAAATTGTGGCATCACCAAAGCCAAGAAAAGCAGCGTTCAAAGAATATTTCAAATTCATCGAGAGGTTGAATAAAATGAAAATTCATAAATATATATTCCCAGGATATGGCACAACAGTAATTATGTTGATAAAAGCAGTTTTATTGGAGAAGTGGGAAGGGAAGAATGGATCAAAGAAAAATTGAAAAGTGAGGAAATAGAGACAACTATTTCAAGTAGATTCACTGCAAAAGAGAGAAGAGGAATAAAATTTTTTTTCTAAAAAGTTACATAAAATCAAAAGGGGTTTATTTTTTTTTTTAAAGATAGAACATATTATTATACCCTGAATGCTTATGGGAGCCATTCAAAAGAATTTGAAAAATTAAGGACGCAAGTAA